ATGCTGTAAAAACTCTCCTTGCACATTTAGTGTTAAAGATCTAGAAAGTTCATATCTTAATCGAAGTTAACACACTTTACTGCATAAAGAACAAAAAATAAATGTGTAAACATGCATTCCCTAAATAATTGAACCACGAATTTATTACTTTCATTCGCAAGTTTTCCAGTATCAAAATTGATTAATGAAAAACAATACGTGAGATGCATACACCTAAATGTTTTGAACAAGCATTTCTTACGGCAAATCAAACTAGCATAGCTTTCTGCCAGTAGTTGATTGCTTATCACAGCTGTTTGATGCCATACATAAGACACATTGAATAATCCGATAAAGTTTACACTAAATGCAATCAATAGCTGTGACCAAAACGGATATTATGTTTCAACAAATACGGCAGAAAATATACGTATCAAACCCGACTTTCAAGGTTAACTATGTAATTCTTGTATGCTATTTCATTGGCATGCTTTTTACAGTTTGGCTATACAACATTTTCCTAGCCGAGCGTTCCTGAAATCAATTTAACTTTTGATAAAAAAAACACACGTTCTATTGTATTGCTTAAGTGGGTAAATGCGCATTTACAAATTTCTGATTCTAATGAGTAGTTTTCATCTTTCCCTATTTGTTTTTCCCCAAGAGTGCATGTAAAACCTCAACAGTAGTTTGAACGAAAATATAACTTACTTTTTAAATTCGATAAGTGTTGCTGTCTTTTAGTGCGATAGCTATACTAATGGCATAAGGAAATTCATATTTTTACGCTGGCATATTCGTCTTTTCATAATATAAAGACACCGTGAGTCTGTCATTATTTATATGACTGCGACACAAAGATTATTCTTATAAATAATGTAATTCCTATACAGTGCTTATTTCAATATGCAAATTATCTTTTGCACTGACACGATAAAGTCAAATGAATTTGCATACGACCGAGAAAGGAAGATGGTTTTATTTGTTAACTTTTATTTTTCATTTAAATGCCCTATTTACTGTCTATATTATTTAAATTGAGTGATCTGTTGTTCAAAATATTTAAGAGTAAGAAACAAATCTTTAAATACAACATCTGATAAATGATTGACATTATTCTCGTTATCAAATCGTCAACATTTGAACAGTATGTTGAACAAGCGTGCTTCATTCTCTCAGTATAATTGTAATGAATGTTATCAATGTTATTCAAGCTAAATAATTAAGAAATAATCGAAGTTAGTGTTGTGGCAGATGTTAACTTAAAAAATCAAATTTGATTAAGCTCCTCTACATATATATGAAGCAAAACATTTACATACAGTATAGACATTCTTTCCTTACCGATTCACATATGCAAATATATACTAAAATGATGGTCTGAATCAATGAAATAAACATTCAATATGTTAAATACACAATTAAGTGCTATTTAACGACTGATCGCATACATCTTACAGAAACATTTTATTAAATGAAAAGGGCAGACCAACTTACAAGTTATTTTAATGTTCATAATAAAACCAGTTAACAACATTATATACCGCATTGTCACATCAGTATAAAAATACCTTTCTTGACAGTTGCGTTTATTGAACGCCGCCTTTCCTTGTTGATCTTGTTTATCATATTTTAATGCTAACATGACTGAATTCTAACATGATTTTGTAAAATCAAACCGAGTCTGCAATTCTTATGTTATTTTGTTGTGATTAATGCTTCCGAGGGATCACTTTCTTTCAAGATTTTTATACTTCACAACAGCAGGTGTCAAGTGCTGTGTGGCAACTGTAAAAAGTTGCCCCGTACTTCACTTCAGTGTTGTTATATTTTTCTGGTCCTTCGGGATCATTGATGCCGGCACTATTAAGTGTTGAGAATTGAGTACCACTCAAGCCGGTGGTAGAGGCGTGAGGGATGTTGCACTTATTCATTATTCCTCATGTACAAACTCAATCAAACCGAGTCTGCAATTCTTATGTAATTTTGTTGTGATTAATGCTTCCGAGGGATCACTTTCTTTCCAGATTTTTATACTTCACAACAGCAGGTGTCAAGTGCTGTGTGGCGGCTGTAAAAAGTTGCCCCGTGCATCACTTTAGTGTTCTAATATTTTTTTAGTCCTTCGGGATCATTGATGCCGGCACTTTTAAGTGTTGAGAATTGAATACCGCTCAAACTGGTGCTATGGGGCGTGAGGGATGTTGTACTTTTTCATTACCCCTCATGTACAGACTCAATCAAACCGAGGCTGCAATTCTTATGTAATTTTGTTGTGATTAATGCTTCCGAGGGATCATTTTCTTTCCAGATTTTTTTGTCACTTCACACAAAGAGGAAATGATCAATGCTTACCTGCAAATGACTACCACTTACATATTTTATGCGCCTAAATGTTTTTATGCACGCTTTTAAAGAAGAACCGAAATGATGTCACTTTAAAGCATTTGTTTTAACTTAGAAAAAATAGCGTACCAATTTAGTAAAATCGACAATATCGACTAAAAAATTGCGTAAATCGTCCCTCTAATTTGACTTTTCATTGTTTTTTTTAAATCATATCCCGCTTCAAAGACCTCCCCCTCATTTCGGGTTCGATTCACGACAGGGACTTTCAATTCTTTCGTGTGAGGAAGCTATCCTGATAGCTTACGGAACGCCGCAGTTCTATTCAGGTGAGATCTTCCTCCACCAGTACACCACCAGTAAAGCTGGCCAACAATGACCTAGTCAACATATGACATATCTTGTGTTGATATCAGTATAATGAATCTTAGTGATGGCGAAGAAAATTATAATAATATACGAGGGACGGTCATGCTCCTCTTTTTCCACGTGCAGCTATATACACACACTATATATTGGTGAAAACTACATTCATTCGCCAATAACGCAGTCAGTTTATTTTCAATGATAGTTGTGTATACACAGTATTTTGCCCTCTGATATATGATAGGTGTTTCGTCTATCATGGACTCTTTGTTCGAGGAACAACGCTCTGTAATAAAGTTTCTGGTTGCAGAAGGTGAAAAGCCCTGCCACATCTTTCAGAGGCTGCGCCTTTTCTTGTTGATCTTGTTTATCATATTTAAAAAAAAAGATTTTCTGGTAAATGTGTATCACGTTCAACCTTCTACAACTGGGTTTCTCAGTTTCGTGAAGGCAGAACAAGTGTTTGTGACAGGCCTAGGACTGGGCGGCCAGCTGAGGCGGTGACCCAAACAATGGTAGCAAATGTTAAAGCTTTTGTCAACAAAAGTCGTCGAGTAACTCTGGAGGAGGTAGCCAACAAGTTTAGCATCGGTAAGGCATCTGCACACAAGATATTACACGAGAACCTAGGCATGAGCAAGGTTAGTGCCAGGTGGGTGCCTAGACAGCTGTCCGCAGATCAAAAGGCAACCAGAGTAACCAATGCAAAAGAACATTTAAGTCGTTTTAATCGTGAAGAAGATAAGTTTTTGAACCGCATTATCACTGGAGATGAGATGTGGGTTCATTATTCCGAACCTGAGACAAAAGCTCAGTCAAAGCAGTGGAAACGAGCTGGTTCCCCACCTCCTAAAAAAAGTTTAAGCTGTCTCCTTTGGCTGGCAAAGTCATGGGCTTGTTGCCTTTGGGATTCACGTAGAATGATACTTACTCATTCATGCCAAAAGGTCAAACTGTCAACCGCCAAGTACTATTCTGAAGTAATTCTGAAAAATCTCAGAGAAGGCTGAAGCAAATGCGTCCCAGGTTAGCACAGAAAAATGCCCTCCTTCTTCACGATAACGCCCCCTCCCATACCACCGCAGCTACAGTGGAGGTTATCAACTCTTACAAATAGCAATTGTTGTCTCACCCTCCTTATAGCCCAGACCTCGCCCCCTGTAACTTTTATTTGTTTTCAGAACTGAAAAAATTGCTTGCTGGAAAGAAATATAAGACCAGGGCGGCTTTGAAATCTGCTGTTACACAGTACCTAAAACATAGGTCTACGTCATGGTTCACAGCGGGAATACAAAAGCTCCCACGTAGATGACAAAAGTGCGAAGACGTAGGTGGAGAATATTTTGAAAAAGGGTAGAAAGATTTTTTTTAAATGATGGATGGTTTTACGAGAACGAGTCAAAAAGTCCGGATATTTTCTGACTTCCCTCGTATATATATATATTATATATATATATATATTATATATATATATATATATATATATATATATATATATATATATATATATATATAAAACGTGATAAATGTGACTTCCCCTCGTATATATATATATATATATATATATATATATATAATATATATATATATATATATATATTAAAACGTGATAAATGTAACTTGTGCAGTGTTGAAATAGATAAAATTATAATGTTAAGAAATAACAAACTCTATGTAAAATCAGTAGCGCTTTCAATGCTTTTTCGCATATCTTCAGCCGAAACTTTAATAAACAATAAACATATAAACAAATGACGTAAAGTCATGAAAAAAAGCGGGAACGTTAAATGATAACGTATTTCCCGGCAAACACAATATGGTTATTTATACTGAAAAATTATAATATTACGGACATTGAGCATAATCCGTACAATCTGGCAGTGAATTAATGACATTTATTAAAGGGAGGTAATAAAATTCACAAGTTAATGATTTTATGGCCACAAGACGTAGGTGGAGAATATTTTGAAAAAGGGTAGAAAGATTTTTTTTTAAATGATGGATGGTTTTCGAGAACGAGTCAAAATGATGAATTCATACCAGATGACACAAGTATTAGTAGTCAATCCTGGAAAATAAGAAAATCTATGATAAAACTATGGAAAACCTCACTTAATGAAAGAAAACAAGCATATTGGAACAATATAAAATTTCAAAACACGGCAGATATCTACGATAGTTGGAAGTGCAAGACAATACCTATTCTACCAAGAAAATACCGACCAAAGCTTATCCCAAATGAATATGCAGATGACAAAGAAATAAGAAGAGATACAGATGTACGATTGTTCGAATCTGAAATCAAAATAATGAAAAATAAAGCAAAAAGATACAAAGATACATTTGATGAAATAGACAAGGAGATGATCGTTATCTTCAAAAAGAAGTCAAATGGAGAAATATGTGAAAAACTTCAACAAATGTGGACCAATGAATGTACGAATGAAGAAGAAAAGTCATTGAATATCTGGGAAAAGAAAAAAGGTTGGTTAAATGATTATGAAACCAAGTATGGTAACGATATATTTCTAACAGAAGATAGGCAAAGAAACAAAAAAGAAAAAAAGCAAGAAAGAAATAATAGAAATGAAAGAATTCAACAAACTAGATTTTCAACAATCATCCGACCTGAAAATACAAATAGATCAATAAATACTAGTTCAACAGTGAAGGCCCACGAAAGAAGATATAAACAATTTAATAGCTACAATGATGAAAGAAGAAACAACACTCAGAGGGGATATGGTCATTATAATAGAGGAAATGAAACAAATGGATATCAATATCGATACAATAACCGTCAAAATCTACCATCAAGACCTTCTACAGAAAATGGAACAACGTATATTGGAAAAAATGCAAGAAAGTCTTCTTTAGGACTAAAGGAATGCAAATGTAAACAAACTCGTGAACAGCGAAGAAACGATTCGGAAGGAAGTGATGTAAACCATGGATCTATTTTAAATAACAAAGATACTACTTAAAGCTCAGAAATACAACCAAAGGTAATAAATCTTTCTTCCACTATAGAATTATCAGAAAGTGAAGTAAAATTACTTAGCAAGGGGCTTAAATTTACTCCCACTCCAATGGAAAATAAAACAGAATTACAAACTGATATAAAAGAATTTTGTCGAAGATTAAGGCTTAGATTAAGGCTTAACACTTCCAGTTACCTTGATGACATTTTTAATTTAGATAATTCCTTTTTTGATCAAATGGTGTCTAATATTTATCCTACGGAGCTACAACTTAATAAAACGAATTTTTGAAATTTAACTACATCATTTTTAGATCTTCATATCACTATTAAAAACAATTCGATTCACACGAAAATATATGATAAAAGAGATGACTTTGATTTTAGTATAGTAAATTATCCTCATTTGGATGGAGACGTACCGCATGCAACATCTTACGGGGTTTATATATCTCAGTTAATTAGATTCGCTAGAGCTTGTAGCAACGTAAAGGATTTTAACGAACGAAATATTTTCATTACCGGTAAGCTACTAAAACAGGGCTACCGCTATTATAAATTACGTAAATATTTTACAAAATTTTACAATCGTAACTTTGATTTAATTTCTAAATTCAATAGTGATCTAAAAACACTTCTGCGACAAGGGATTAGCCAGCCTGATTTTTACGGGGATGTTGTTTACAAACTTCGTAAGATTTTGGGTCATTGTAATTTTTCTGTTGTGTTTACTAAAATTATTAAACGTTTTATTAAAAGGGGTTATGACCCTACTATTTTAAGACATATCGCATGCTTAGTGTTCAACCCATTTACAGCTGGACACTACGCGTTCCTCTTTTGATTACATCTGACGGACCAAGTGGGAGACTATATGATGGACAGTTCTTAAAGCCCTTTGGGACTGAATTGCCTTAATGTTTGTCTTCTGTCTTGCTTCGTCGGGCCCTTGTAGGTGATTTTCTTGTTGCTCTGTCTTCCTTTAGGACATTGAGTACTTTTGTTATGGTCATTGGGTTTACTTTTACAGTTTTTATATGATCATTTTAGTGTTTTACTTATTTAACCTTTTGTAAACATGACAACTGTTAGAATTTCACTTGGCGGGGATTCATTTTATTTACACTGTCTCGTTTATAGGAACATGGTGGGGCTAAGAGCGAGGTTTGGTGCACCATTAACCGGTTTAAACTCCCCAGTAGTCATTATTATGCTACTGACCGTTCCAAGGCGGCGCCCCTCTGTGTTCCTCAGATGTATGTCTATGTTGTTTTATACTGTTTTGGTGACACTTTTGCTTGTGTCTCTTGTTGTTTCTCGTCTACGGTAAGTATCTTCCCCTTTGTCCCTATTTTTTATTTATTTTATTTATTCCCCCCCCCCTTCCCCGTATCTCATGTCCCCTTCCCCTGTGCCTTTTGACTTTATGGGCCTAATATTTATTCATTTATTTGTTTTCTTTTAGTTCCTGGTCAGTTGCTTATTATTTGCCTGCCCGTGCTCTGCCTTGTGCCCTGTCCTGTTTTTCTTTGGGGTCCTCCTGGGCTCCTTACCGATGGCGCTTGTTGCTGGGTCGGGTGGGGGCTGCGTTCATTGAGCGCCGCCTTTCCTTGTCGATCTTGTTCATCATATTTTAGTGAGTTTTTCCATGAAGAAGATAAAGATAATGATAGAAACGATATACCCTTAGTACGAAATAAAACTGGATGGAAACCTCCTAAAAGTAAAGATATCTTTTTAGAAGAGGCTATTGAATCATTAAAGAAAAATCCCACTTGAAAATAAATCTGATGTTAATTCTAATTTAATGAAGAAAGATCAGCATTGAAAAGTATATTGTCAAAAAAATCATTAATCATAAAAGAAGCAGATAAAGGCGGTGCTGTAGTTTGTATGGACAATAACTACTATAGAGATCACATTTTGAAAATGTTGAGTGATGAAAGTTACTATTCAGAGACAGATATAAACGCAGATTTAAGGACACGGAAAGAATTAAATGATATTGTAAATAAACACGGTAAAGGATTGGTAAAGGAGGAATCTACATATTTGACTAATTTTGAAAGTTCAACCAGCTTCTTTTACGGATTACCTAAAATTCACAAAAGTAGGAAAATTGAAGAGGCAATAAAAAATAATAAATCTGAATACATTAAAGTTTCTGCATCAGATGATTTAAAGTTTAGGCCTATTGTAGGGGGACCTAACAGTGTTACACAGAGACTTAGCCACTTTTTAGACCTCATATTAAAACCATTATGCAGACAAGTTCCAAGTTTCATTCGAGATGACTTAGATTTCCTGAATTACTTGCCGGAAAATGTAGAAGAAGATTCCATTTTAGTTACCTTTGATGTCGTAAATTTATATACAAACATTCCACATGATCTGGGCTTACAGGCAATTCAACACTGGATAGAAAATTTTCCCGATAAAATAAATACTAGATTCCAACACCAATTTATATTGAAATCACTGCAACTTATCCTAAAGAATAACGTATCTTATTTTGACGGCAAATATTATATCCAGAATAAAGGATCAGCTATGGGTACTAAAGTCGCCCCAACTTATGCTACTTTGGTACTTGGATATCTAGAGAAAACATTCTACGAAAGAATATCAACAATACACGGAAACGACTTTTCAAACTACATTAAAATGAACTGGAAGAGATTTTTGGATGATTGTTTTTTGATAGTCGGGAAAAATATCAACACAGATGATTTATTAAGAGAAATAAACAATTTACACCCCTGTATTCAATTTACGATGAATAAAAGTGAAACGAGCATGCCATTTTTAGATGTATTAGTTATGAAATCTGGAACACATATTACAACAGATATCTACAGTAAACCGACGGACACATACAACTACCTCAACTTTAAATCGTGTCATCCGAAACATACAAAGTTAAACATTCCTTTCAACCTTGCGTCAAGAATCATAACTATAGTAAGAGGAGAAACACTGCAAGAAAAGCGCCTCTTAGAACTAACTACAAGACTTAAAAATCAGAATTACCCAGATGAAATTATTACAGACGGAATATCTAAAGCCAAATTGAAAGGTCCCATCAAAACTGAAGAAAACATAACAGCTAACAACAAGTACAACGTTATCCCATGTGTAACAACATTTAATCCCAAAAATACCAATATTTCCCAAGCAATTCGATCTTGTGAGAATGTGTTACGAAAAAGTGAAAGGATGAATAGTGTTTTAGAAAAGAAGCGCATTATAAACAGTAAAAGACAAGCAAAAAATCTTCAAAACATCTTAACCTCTTCAAAGTTCGACATGACAAATAATACTGTAACAACAGTTTCTAAATGCAACAGGAGTAGGTGTAAGACATGTCCTTCTCTATTAGAAGGAAATGAAATACAATTTTGTAACAGTAAGACATTTAAAATAAAACAAAGTATGAACTGTGTTTCGAAAAATGTGATATATTCAATAATTTGTGACAACTGTAAACAGTTTTATAATGGCCAAACAAAAAATGAATTATGTAAACGTATGACTTTACATAGGCAACAAACAAACACTGAAGAACTCAGAATGTTACAAGTAAATAAACATTTACATAATTGTTCAGGAGGTAAATTTAGCATTTTCCCTCTATATAAGATATTAATCGAAAGTGACAATTTTAGAGAAGAAAAAGAAACACTTTTAATCAAGTTATTAAAACCACAGCTTAATGCTAATTTGTAATTAGCGTTTAACAGGGTATATATATACAAGTACTTCGTATTTATTACAATCTCTTCATTTTTAATTATGAAAGAAACGCTTGCGATTTTATTCAGTCCAATTGTTCGTTTATTTACCAATATTTATTGAGTAAAAATTGTTAATTACCATACAATTTGTGGCCATAAAATCATTAACTTGTGAATTTTATTACCTCCCTTTTAATAAATGTCATTAATTCACTGCCAGATTGTACGGATTATGCTCAATGTCCGTAATACATGTAATATTATAATTTTTCAGTATAAATAACCATATTGTGTTTGCCGGGAAATACGTTATCATTTAACGTTCCCGCTTTTTCTCATGACGTTACGTAATTTGTTTATATGTTTATTGTTTATTAAAGTTTCGGCTGAAGATATGCGAAGAAAGCATTGAAAGCGCTACCGATTTAACATAGAGTTTGTTATTTCTTAAACATTATAATTTTATCTATATATATATATATATATATATATATATATATATATATATATATATATACATGTATAAGTAAAATCTCTAACTTGCCGTATATAAGCAAAAACGCTAATTTAAATTTGCCGTAGCTTTTGGCCTTGCGGCCTTCTTCAGCAGCATTTATTCCACATACAAATATATCAAACAAAACAATGGAAGTGACGTAACAATAGAAAATTTGTGGAAAAATAAATTAAGAACCTATAGACCGTATGGAGTAAATACCAAAGAATAACGCGGCAGACGGCAAACAACGCCACGGCGGGCGTCGTTCATTGACGTTACGTCACTTCCATTGTTTTGTTTGATATATTTGTATGTAGAATAAATGCTGCTGAAGAAGGCCGCAAGGCCGAAAGCTACGGCAAATTTAAATTAGCGTTTTTGCTTATATATATAAGAAATCAATATATTTAACATGAAGTTTCTTTTTAAATACAAAATGAAGCAAATATTATCGTATTCTTAGATTAAGAATATTTCGGTCTATAACCTTTTTTCGTGGATAGTTTTATTGCTCTTGATCATGCAGCCATTTGTTGGGATTTGAATGAAAATATCAATCCGTCCAATTTGGGTTGTAGTTAAACATTGACTAGATAATTCTTTTTATTACGATATAATTTGGACAGAAATTCCATTGATATAATTTCATCAGTTATTCGCGTTAAGGTTTCATGTTTCTTTCTATTTTAAAAAATTGAAAAAAATATCTATGAGAAAAGATGAAAAATTATTATTCTTGACAACAATTTTTCATTGACATAACAATACAGTTTAGTTGAGAAAGAAATAAAATCAGTTGTGCATCTTTCTTATGCATATTCCATATTGAGTCAATTCAAAGACATTGCACTATACAATAGATATAATTATCCAATACATTAAACGGATGAAATAGATAAAAGAAAATTAGTGATCAATACGTTATGTAGACATTGCTTTGATTACTTATTCAATTATATCTCACCTGGTGAAAAGAGAAAATGTTTCAGACAATATAATTATTATACATTAAGTTTACGGTATGCCTGATGAAATAGCTCCAAATAATGCACCAGATTCAAAATGAAAAAGCAAATGAATATTTGACAATCATTTAATTTTTACAACAATTGTAAAACTAATGCAGTAAACTTTCAAATGAAGAAGAGATGTACTGTATAACAGAACTTGTCTTTTAATGGTGCATTACTAAACGTAATTTTCCACATCAATGCTAAAACTAATGCAGTAAACTTTCAAACGAAGAAGAGATGTACTGTATAACAGAACTGGTCTTTTAATGTTGCATTACTGAACGTAATTTTCCAAACAGAGAATAATGGTTGTTCTACAGAAGTGTGATTCATAACAGAGACTTCTGTCAGGATGCTTTTACTGTTTACACAGTATGTTGTCACGGTAACACACACTTTTCATAATGCTATATAAGATACCACAGATTCAAATGGTTAATACTTGCATCCAAAAAAAACTAATAGAGCACATAAAATGGTACTTCTACTGCATGTCATTTCTTTAAGTTATTTAAGTTTAAAAGGGATGTCATCAATTGATATATTTTAGAATAAGGTATGTTTTATAGGTTCTGATTTGATAATTTGTCTTATTTTACTAACTGATGATATTTGATAAATGTAATGGAAATATCATAAATAAATGATTATAGAGAAACATTGTAGAATTGCAATATACTAGGTAAAAAAATAATTAAGATAATTACCTGTTTTATTCCTTTGCAATTTCATAAAATTCGTAAAGCAAACTCCTTCGTGTACTATAATGTCAAATTGCATCTTCTATAACTAAATGAAATTTGATGGATGTTTAGAGATAATATGGAACGTTATATTATGTAAGATTATTTTGAATGACATTACCACAGAATATCAATTATCAATTTTGTTCATGTATTACAATTCAGATCATTTCTTTACAGGATGTCCATTGTTCGAAGTATAAACAAGGACTGTGAAATACATCGTTAAATCACATATCTTTGTTTAAGGTGTAAAGATGCTTGTTTATACACGAACAAATTACTGTATCTCAATAACAAGATAGAAATAAAACAACATATTTATGATAATTTCACTATTATATAGACCTTATGTAATTAAATAATTGCATGTATATTAAGATTTAAAAAGAACATAATAAAACTGTTTTCTTTGATTTGTAGTAATAATATACAATACATTTTCCAAGTAACACGTGCATTGCAATCACCCAATGCAATAAGGTACAAGAAAGAAAGAAAAACAGGAAAGCAATGATGTAATTACCAATAACAATGTTTCTTTATTAGCAATAAATTGAGACAACACAATAATTTCGGAACATTTTGATGACAATTACCTCATACAAAGTGATGCTTTACTTGTAATTTAAAGCTCAGCTTCCCAGTAGTAAAATCAATATGATATGAGAGGCAATACCAGATAAATTGTTTTGATTAATCGACATTAAGCATGAAACGCTATTACCATTAAATATTTAAGTTAAAGAGACTCACGGAAAATGCAATATGCACAAGAGCTTTTAAAATTGGACACATATAATCTTAACTAAAGCAATATGTTGTTTAAGAAATAATATATCCCAAACTGTGATTTTATTGCTCAATAACATCACTGTTTGGAGTTCGGATGCGGGGAATTATATCACGAGGGCGTAGCCCGAGTGATATAATGATGCGCATCCGAACGACAAACAGTAATGTTATCAAGTAATAAAATCTCCGATTTGGATATATTATTTCGATTCTAACACGACATCAACAAATAAATGCTGCCGTACATGATAATTAGCTAAATTGCGCCTGATTTGTTGCCGTACTTATTGTCAGCGCGTCACATTTTTAGTGGTTACGTCACGTAAAGCTTGAACTTGAGCCGCAAAGTCATTTTGATATCACATATTGTTACTAGATTATTAAGCTAATTTGTGAAAATATTCTCTCAGTATACAAGACAGCAGAGCACACGGCACAGCTTTGTTAATACAAGCTCTCATTTAAGGATCATTCTCATCCAAGAAGTGTTCGATTTGGGCCAGTGAATATCGTTTAAAGTAATTGATATTTGCAAACAATCGTGGTAACTTTAGCATCATGCGTGGAGCTGTTTCATCTGAGTAAAGTAATTGCGTAAAAATAGGAGAAATCAGGCTGTATGACTGTACATTGAACACCACCAGCTTTGTCTTGTTGAATGAAACGAACGGTCAAAATATTGCACATCATCGCTTTGCTGACGTTTTGTTGTCTGAAATGCATGCCTTGCATTCAACCGGAAAATACTTTTGTGAACTTATTCTTTTTCACATTTTGACTTTGTTAGTGTCGAACAATGTTTATCAATTGAAATGAAATGCCTACAGATGATGTCTACAAGTTTTATAAAAAATATATATCTATTATATTTAATGTGAAAAGAATTTGATTAAAACCAGTGCGTTTTTATAGTCTATGGAGAAAGAAAGAAAAGATATCTGTATATCCCGACAATAAATGACCAAGTAAATAATATAAACGGCCGTGACCAACAACAGAAATACAATCTCCTACATTTATCGTTTTTATTTAACATTTCTTTATGTGACTTTTATAAAAGTGCTAGACATTAGGATCAAGTCAGATGATTTTCTTGCAAATGCTGATATTTTTTTAAAGATTTTTTGTTTACTTTTAAACGTAATATTACGTGTCACTAGATATCAACGATCAAAACGAAAACACTGAAGTACATTAGAACACATTTCTGACGACGCATTACTAAATTTTACTCTCTTACTATAGAGTGATAATTGGTCGTCTGCTAAAGTGAGATTTATGCCCAGAATTCCATCAAAATGCTTTTACAAACACAGATGTTGTCACGATAACGCGCAATTTTCCAATTTATATCAAAATTACCTGACGGTTAAATGTTCGTGTTTTCAGACTTGCAGACAAAACCGGCGTGAAACAGTACGAAAATACTTTCAAAGGACATTTTAAAGTGCGATGGTCGTGGAAAGACC